GCGCCCGGTGTGACAGCCGGGAGTGCCCCTGCTGCTGCTGCTGCTGCTGCAGGAGCGCGGGGTCGGTCGGCGCCTGCGAGGACAGCCTGCAGGCCCCTCGCACCGCGTGTGACGGCCGAGGGGGCTTCGGGGCGCACCGCGGCAACCCCCGGGCATCCAGGGACCTCTCGGACAGCCTGGAGTCCTTCCAGCACGACAGCCTCCAGTCCCTCTCCAGCCTGTGTGAGAGCTTCATGTCTGCCAGCATCAAGGGCGATAGCCTCGAATCCCTTTCCAGCCTGAGCAACGGGTCCACCGGCCAGCACAGCGGCCTCGAGTTTACCAGCCAGTGAGACTGCCTTCATTTCCCCGTACACTGCACTAGCCTCTGCTTCACTTCCAGCTACTGCGAGAGCTTTACGGTTCCTGCCCTTCACGCAGCAGGCTACGTCGTTCCAGCTGATTTTTACTGCATCCGGTGCAATAACGTCAAATACTGTCTGTGGCTGCCATTCCCAAGTTACGTGCTTCAGAGAGGCAGTGCTCATTATTACCTGCAGTGCTAACGCTTATTTTTTGTCATCGGTTAAGAATGGAGGTACGTGGTCCTCGGAGGAATCCCAGCTACCTCTCCGATCTCTATCAGAACATGTTACGGGCTGAAGAAGCACTGGGACGAGGGCAGCAGCAGCAGCCGCCAGCAGTCTGTACAAATAGCAGCATGACTTTTCGGGGCAGTACCCCAGCCAAGAGGGGCCCCCAGCCAAATAAGCTTCAGAGCAGCACTTCCTCCAGCTGTGACCCGGCGTTACGGCCTATCATACGCCGCCGAGCAAGGTCTTTGCCTACATCACCTGAAAGAAGGAAGCGGGCAGCAGTGCAGTGTCAAGTTCCTGGATGCCAGAGTCGTACGAACCGGGTGAGATTTGCTGATGCTTTGGGCTTGGAGCTCACTGAAGTGAAAGTCTTCCAGACTGGGGAGGATCCATCGATCCCCTTGCATGTACTTTCCAGGCTCTCCATAAACTCAGACCTCTGGTACAGCAGCTCGGACTTGGAGTTTACCATGCAGTGCTTGGTCCCTGACTTCCAGCAGCCTGCAGACTGTATGGATTTCTCCTCCCGGCTTCAGGAGCAGCAGGTGTGTCTTGAACGAGTGACCAGCTCAGATTTGGGGCTCAGTGGCACCATCCAGGTTCGCAATGTTGCTTTTGAGAAGCAGGTATCTGTGCGATACACCTTCAACCAGTGGAAAAGCCTCCATGAAGTGTGTGCTCATTGGCACAGTAGCATCCCTGAGAAAAACGGCCAGGATCAGGTTGATGTTTTCACTTTCTTTCTTCCTGTGCCTCCTTTCCTCCTTCAGCTGTGCTCTGTAGTCCAGTTTGCAGCAAGGTACCAAGTCAACGGCCAGGAGTATTGGGATAACAACAGAGGCAAAAACTACAGTCTTACCTGCCGGACTCACCCCCTTAAGATGCCTAGAGAATGTGAGGAGAGCTGGATCCACTTCATCTGAATGAAGAAAGCGGATGCAGAGCAGCTTGTCAGTAGTCTCGGTGGCACTCTCTTCCTTGGCATGGCGCTCTGCTCCTATGGCAACAGTCTCCTTTTTGAAACCTGCCAAACCTGGCGAAGTGTTCCAGGGCAGGGAAGTAGCCAATGATCTGTACAAACTGTTCTAAACCTCTCAGAAAGAAAAAAGGGCCAAAATGTGTATTGAGTTATAGCCGTTGAAAGCCCGAGTGATTTCTTGTGGTGTATGAATTGGTGCAGAATGGTTCCAAGGGATGCTGTCAGGCTACCAGAGAGCAAAACAAGACATTTCATGTTGCTAGTAATATTCTGGGTTGCATAGAATATTTCTAACTGATCTATTTTACCATTTTGTACTGTCTATTTTCTAAACAGGCAGCGTGGCTTTACTGGTTTTGTTTCTAACCGTCTCACCAAGTTTGGGCACTGTTCCATTTATGCATAATTCGGATGGCAGACACTCTAGGGAAGTGCTTGTATTTTTATATATATATTATTAAGACTCTAACCATGTTAACTATTTCCATTAATATTTGGGTTGGAAATTCGTTATTATGAGCAAAACATACATGAAAACGTCCCATCAGCCCCTCTGTTTCCTTTAAGAAAAGGCACCATTTATTTTTTTTTTTAAATCTCTAGTGTTTGCTGTAGGCAGAAGGAATGATTGTTACCAAAGTTTGTGTAAGGCCAATCCTGGGAAGTTCTCATCTTTGTCAGGTGATGCACAAGTAAGCTTTCTCTCTAGGTGGTGGTACAGGAATTGTCCTTTCCTTGTGCGCCTGTTTTAACTAAGGGCAAGTAGAGCAATTTTGCACTTGTGTTGCGATTACAGTTGGAGATCTCAAAGCACTATATGAATGCTAATGATCTTACACTGTTACCTGAAACAGGTAAATTTATAAATCAAGAAATGGATATGAGCGAGAGATAGATATAGATATATATTTTATAGATAGATAGATAGATAGAGATATATATAGTTTATCTATATCTATCTATCTATATATATATAAAAAAAGACAATACAGGGACCTGGCTACAGAGCCGTGGAGTAGGACACAAGAATCCTGAATCCTGGCTGTGTGTTCCCCAGCATCCCGGTACTACTACAGTAGTAACTTTGAATTCTTGAATCAACTACTTATTATAAACCAGTTGAACTCCAAGACTGCATCCTTTGCAACAGAAAGCAGGAACTTCAAAGCAAAACGATGATTTTACCGGTAAACTGATACTTACATGGACCCATAAACAGAATCACTTCTGCAGCAGGGAGAGCACAGTAACAGTTACACAGAGTCTTCCCGTGCCTCTTGCTCTGCCGCTTTCATTCTGTGGTTTTAGTGTGGCTTAAGATTAGCAACAGGCTTAAATCTAGTAAGTAAAAGATTGTCCATGATTTTTTTTGTACATATTCATCACTGCATGCAAGGTTTAGCTTTATACGTGTAGCATAAATTTTCAAAACTGGCTGGCTGGATGTATTCAAGAGCTGCTTTTTAGAAGGATTATACTATGAAAATCGGGCCACTTATTCAGGCATCTTATTATGGATTGCTGCTTATTCATCAAAATCACAAGTTGTTTTTAAAATCACAGTTGTAAGCAACCCACAGCCAAGTATATATTAGTCCAGAAAGTCTGCTGAGTAATTCTGGAAGTGCAGAAACCCCAAGAAAATTAATGTGTCTGGCAACTCAATGTTACTACTTGGTTGTGATACCCACTTAGCAAAGCCAGGATTTCAAGTGAAGAAGCTGCCTGGTTCCATTAGTCTTTGGCTTTCAAAGGAACCGAAGTCAGGAATGATGATTCTATGAGCGGCTGAGCACCTCTTGCAGAGTACTGAGAAAACTCAGTCCTATTTGAAACCATTGAGAGTTGACTGTTACCTGCTTTAACGTTGTACTGGAGCACTGTGAGGTTGAACATTTAAGTTGAAATTGTTTTGAAGGAGTAGGTGAGGCTGAGGTGCAGTCGCCAGCTATGGAGAGGAAAGAGCGCTGCCTGCTTTCAATCCACCTGCGTTGTTTTCTGTATCTGGGTTAGAGGAGTGACCGTTACCAATCTGGCAGCAACTCTTGTCTCCTAGAAAAATCAATGCAGGGAACTGGAAGCGTAGGCTTCCTTGTATGGCACAAAAAATGAGAGCTCTGTAAGAAGGGGTGCTATCTAATTGTAAGGTTTTTTTGCCTCCTATGGTGGGCTTCATATGACTAAATGACGTATGATGATATAGGACATAACATATTTGAACTAGTCAACCTGTGCTCTTCATAGTCAATGGAGATGTTTTCGCTATAGTTAGCAGACTACCTGTGGTGTGACAAACTGTGTCATCTCTGCTGAGTGCAGAGAGAACGCTGCGGGACTGGTTCCGCCATACTGAAATTCTCAGCATTAGTGCAGATTGTGCCAAATTATGCCAGAGTCTAGATGTCAAGTTAGATGAGCTGAGACACGCCTTCAGTGACTGCAGAAGAATCTTTCTTGGCATGAATTGAAATTGCATACCCTTACTTTGGTGAAACTTGCTCACTTAAGGAATTCCATTAAAGTTTATCCAGTATTGTTAAAAGTCCATAGAAGTGGCATTTTATGTACTTGTCAGGGAAGTAAGAAGAAAATGAACACACGCATGCACAGAAGCACTTGGGCTGAATAAAAGGCACTGTTTTAAAGTATTGTTCCCCCCTCCTTCCCCCTCCCAAATGACTTTATTTCTTCCATCAGCAAACCCACTGAATTGCCTCTTAGCACACCATTAAAAATCACTCTCTTATGAGACCTGGTATTTGACACCAGTTTACAATGGACGTTGCTGGAGCCCAATGCAACACTTGGCTTACTGGCAGAAAGATGCTGTTGCCATCTTCTGGGAGAGACTCATGTGCTAGCAAATGTCAAATCTGAGTGTTTTTGCAGGCAGAGACAGATAATGTAAAGCTGAGGCTGTCAGCGTAAAGATAATGCCGTGTATACCGCAGTGTCAGAGAGGTGAGCAATGAATGTCTCGGCAATATGAGTTTGGCTTGTATTGTCTTCCTTCCACAGCCTCTCAGGGTATTTGCGTGTGCAAAATCTTCAGTGCTAGAGCACTGTTCCAAGCTTGCCTTTTCTCTTTGCTTGTCTTGCACTGCTGGGGAAGAATTGACAGTAGCTGTTACTAAACCAGTTGTCTGGCATTGCTGACTGCGGGTTGAGCAGGGCTACCTTGTAGCAGAACTGAGAGTATCTGGGGATTAAGCTGTCAAATGGTCACACACGACTACTGGCGCCTGTCACAGGAAAGATTAAACTTGCACATATGTTTTCCTGTCACATTCAGTAGTGAACATCAAACAAACAAAGGATTCTAGTTGACAAAAAAGGGATTAAGCCATTAAGTAGTGGTGACACGCACCTGTTGTGAAGGTAAACTTACACCCACCTTTGTAAATTCTCAGGACAACTTGACTGCTTGCACTGTGTTCAAGTTGAGCACTTCCCTTTTAATGAGGATTTTGTAAAAGTGAATTTTTCACAAGGGTTATTGCCATATAATGCACTTTTAAAAACCTGTATTTATTATAGTCATACAATAAATTAATGTCTAGCAGTCCACAGTTTCAAGGTTCTTTCAAGCATGTTTTTTAAAAAAACATAAGGAATCCATGTAAATGAAAAGGGATTGTCTTTCCTGATTAAACGTCTTGTCCAGAATACAGTACATTACACAGTCTATCAATAAAGCACATATGCTAGACAAAAGGTCGTTTTCTTTTAGTGGAGAGCTGTAAAATTGCAAAGTGCTTGATTCATTTTAAAAAACAATAAAAAAACTATGGCTATTGTAATACAAAAGATTGTAATAAAAGCTTTTCACAATTTTATGTTGGTTTTGTCCTGTTAACAGTTAAGAAAACTCATGAGGCAACTTAGTGCCAAGTTGTCACTTACAGAGCAGCACACTCGGGCAAGTAAGGTGGGTTCAAGTTGCTGAAAAACAAACAGCACTTGATAAAAATACAGTGATTAGTCTGTACAGCTGCAAAAACGACCAGGCTGTCACTTCTTACATGGAATTCGCTGTCATTTCACCTCAGAGATCTGTGCATGCAGCATCTGCATATCTAATGTTGGGAAAAGGCACACTGCCAGCTGGTTCTAATACGGTATCATGGAAAAGAAGAGAAAGGGGTTGTCTTCTAATAGCACTTCCCAAAGCTGTGCTAGGCTGTACTTAACTCGTTCATTTCAGAGCCTCACAGTTGTGTTATTTTCTTCCATTTGCTTTTTCAGTTTTCATTGCTGCAGTCTCTCCTCTCAAACCATGTTCTTTTCACCCACAGGTTTCTTGAAAATACATCTACATAGGGTATGTTAAGTGAGTGTCCATCTCTACAGCAACTCTGTCTGGAATGCATCTCCGTCAGTGTCAAGCATTTACTTGATACAGTTCAAGAGTTGAATAATCTGTTGCCAGGTTTCTTCTGAAGCAAAATGGAGACATTTAACTAGAAAACATAAAGACATATATTACCACTTTTTAATCAGTGTTAATAACTTCAGCACTGCATTGTCAAAGTTGCTTGGGGGAAAGATGATTATTGCAAATCACAGTTTAAATACATAGGAACGTCTATATTATGCTAAGTTGTTTAAGAATGTCAATGTCACTTTTTATTAGAGAGTATACAGATTATGTGTTATAACTATATGCACATAGATGCATAAAGGGGGGTGCTTTTAGAAAGCATGGTATTATCTTGTCTTTATGACTCTTGTTTTTCCATTTTCCTATACTACCGATCTGATTCAGAACTAGCAGTAACACCTTAATTGTCATAACTTTACCCACTAAAATAGAGTATTAAGCATCACCTGGAAATAAATATGGTAACCACAGTGTAGACTAACCAGGAGACCAGCTAAGAACAAAGATAGTGGTCTTTGATTTTAACAAATCATTTGAAAACAAGGTGAATTTGTTTTAGCCTCGGGGGTGGGGGTGTGTGGGGATGTGTGTAAGAGTATTTAAGAGAAGGACTGGCTTTTGCTGTGAGCATCCAACCATCAGGTTTATCTTACAGGTGGTTAGTGTTATTTCCAATATAGGTGTTATTTTTACATTTAGTTTCAAAATCATAGTTTCTTTGTATTTATCTTAAAAAGAAAAATAAATTCCAACTTGTAGTAATAGTAATATGCTAACAGTCAATCGTAACTACAGTACTTAATTTAGTGTATTATCAGTGCTCAATATAATGTTATATGTACTTTACAGCATTGCCTGGTAAAGACACAGAACAGCAAGTCAAAATGATTAGTCATTTGTCAACATGAGTCTAATGTTAGTACTGACTTCTTTCCTGATTTGGCTTTCTCCTTATGATCTCAGATCTGCAACTATTTCAGCTGACATTTGATATTAAAACTGTTGGCATCGATGCTTCTGACCCATCTCAGTTCTACATACAACGGCAGCTGTGCCGAAGATTGATTATATCGACCAGTACAATGTTTTCCAGTACCTGTAATGAAGGTAAATATTTCTGCTACTGTAGTGAAGAAAGGGTCCCTGTATATAGTGCTACCCTACCCTAAAGACAGTTTTGCTTCCATTTCCTCTGACATTTATAAGTGTAGTTGCCATATCTGGGGCCCAAATAATTTCACTGCTTGTTCCAGACTGTTTAATGCATAACTTGATGAAAATTCTGCTTTCTGTTGACCTCCCTTCTGCTAAACCAAGCAAAATAGACATTAGAGAATGAGAAATGAACATACAGTAGTCTCCCAGTCACGCCAGTGTACCTAGTGCAGGCGGGAAACTGTATGATCCGCTTCTCCCGTACTTTATGGCTCGCTTTTCTTTTGCCGTAGAATGAGTAAGGCTGTTTTCTTGACAAAATCTGAAAATCTGTGGATAGTGTAAGCCTGTGTGTATGCTAATGTGACTGGTAAGGGAAAGCATCAAATGCAAATTAGCTTTTATTACTTCTGCTTCGTATGATGAAAATAATAGAATTCAGAATTCAGTTTTTATACAAAACTTCTGATGCTTCAAGTACCTCATGCAAAGTTTTGTCCCTAGTAGGCTTCTCGGTAAAGCTGAACTTCTACAGATCTGCTTCAGATCACCCACTGCCTTCTAATAAAGTATCCCAACAGCGAACGTGACAGCAGTTAATCCCTTTAGCCGAACATGCCTCCTGCAAAATGCTCAGCACTGCTCAGTCCTATGGGATCAACTCCTCAGTGGACATACTCCAATTCTCATACTTGTCATTTTCTTGAATTACACTGACATCTGGTGGTATTTAAAATACTTTCTGTACAGTTTTTTTGCCTTTTATAGTATTGATTTGTTTTCTTTCTTATTTTAGAAAGTCAGTGGTGTTATTTTATTTACAATTGCTGCAGGTTTATCTGCTGTGAAAGGTGATTCTTCTCCCAGATGCTCCGCTATCGCTGCTTATTCTAGGTATGAACGGAGAGGCTTCCTGATGCTGCGCCGGAATATGAGAGATTCATGCTAGATATTATCACCTGTATTTGTGATACAGGTGATAGATATACCAGTATCACACCAGTACAGGTAACCCCCACTTTGGAACTGCTGGATCTCATTAAACACCTCACCCAGTTCCCTCTGTATAATAGGGACCACAAATGTCAGTAGAAGCCCTTTATCAACAACAGGCCTGCAGCTGAGTTTCTGTATCTATTACCTACTCGAGCACTTGATGGTAGTGAAAATGTTTCTGAATAGAGCATACAAATGAATTACACTGGTTTAGCGAACTCGCGCCCAGTAACTCGTCTACACTATGCACTGAACTTAGTGTTCTAAATACTGGGTAATAATGACAATTTGTAATATAAAACAAGTAGAACAGCGGAGGTCCCGTGTAAGCAGGCGCAGTCCCTTCACAATACGACTAGGTGTTGCACGTTAGTAAACCCACCCCACGGCCCTCTCCTTGCCCCTTGCAGGCGGTGGATTCCCTTTCCTCCTGCCCTCACGTCGCCCTAGGGCCGCGGCTGCAGCGGTTCCTGCTGCAGGAAACACCCGGCCAACGCTTCGTGCGCTCCAGCGGGACGGGCGAGCCGGGGCGGCAGCCCAGGGGACCGGGCCCGGCGGCCGGCA